CATATGAGGGTGGGGGCTGGGTGGTAGCAGTCATATTGGGTGGCTTAAGAGTGTCTTTGAATTTTGACGGATTAATAATTCAAGTCTTGGAGTGCACTGAAAAATGTGCTGGCAGCACATTGTTTGATCGCCTCTTATTGAGTAGAATTCAACTCTGGATCCATACTGTTTTCATTTAAGCCTCTCTGTTAAAAATGGTGTTCAAACCTTTAGTTCCAAGTGAAATTACACTGCAGGTCAGCTCTTAAAACATAATTCCCAGGGCATCTCAGTAAATGTTTTTCTCCAAGATTTTTGTCCACCTGCAACAAGCAGTCCTCACTCCTTCACTTGTCAAAACAGAAAATTCATTTTTTTATTCTCCAGTTAGATTTCACAGACACATCCAGTGTGCCATCTGTTTCAGGATCAGCAGAAGTCAAAGGGCTGACCTATAGGCACCAAAGTCAAAAGATCAGCAGACAGCAATAAAGGACAAACAACTTTTCTCGACCAATTATAGAAGAAGACAGGAAGGACGTCCAGTCTCTATCACCTAACCACTTAAGCTATCTCTTACTAAGTAAACAAACAGCGGAAACAATTGAATGGCTATAAAACCAGATTGTAGAGGGTGACTAAGGGTTATGAAATGTATCAACAGCCACACAAGTACTTCAGTGTTTGTCCTTGAAACTGAAAGTGTGATAACATATATATGATAAAGGAAGGTTATAAACATTTTCAATGCAGTGGTTGGCAAATATTTCAAGATAAAGTTTCTTTATGATGTTCACCGTAAATATCTTGCACAACTTTTTAATAAATCTGTTGAAAGAAATGTTTATTATAAGTGTATTACGAGCTAGATCAGTGGTTCCCAAAGTGGGAGTCGAGACCCCCCCAGAGTGTTATGAGACACTGTTTTTACATGTTTCCAAAAACATGTAAAAATCAAAACTAGCAAATCATATCCATTATTGTGAAAATATATTTAAAAAAAAGTAGTTCAAGAGATTAGGGGTGTTCTACTTCTAGCGTTTCATACAATAAATTACGAAAATAATATTACATATTTGTGCCGTCTGTGCGAAACATTCAATGTTTTAACCACCTTCAGGAACAATGGGGGTCCACAGTATCAAAGGAGCAAACAAGTAGCAAATTAACTTGATATTTAGGAGCTTTTCCAAAGCAAGTCTGTCTTCTGTTTCCACATTATGAAACACACAAAAGGTACACTCACTCTCTCTCCCATACACACCATTTAATCATTTCAATCAGCAACTAATCATTTAATCACCATTACTGTGGGCGGAGAAGAGACTCTAATAGAGACAATAGTTTGTTTTATTAGTCAACAGATGCTGTCCAGTTGTTTCGTGTTTTTTTTTTTCATTTCCATAATTCCTCCCCTGACTTATTAAGAAGATAATCTCCTTGTTATGCGGCCGCCAACGCTGAATCCACAAGGGAACTGTGAGCATTTGTTTTAGTGTGAGCGGGAGTGTGAATGGGGGCGGGGTTATATTTGAACCCAAATGAACCCTGATACCCCCTGTCTTCATGCCCCCCTCCCCCTCCTCCTCCTCCTCTCTTCCCCTGCGTCGGCTGCTTGTGGATGCTAGTGATTAATTGCTTATTTGCTTGGACGGGGTTTGAGTGGCGTGTGTAGTGAGTAGACTTGACGAGCTGCCAAAGCTGTCAGACAGGGCCTGATGCCGACCAACAGAAAGAGAGAGAGGAGAGAGAGAGAGAGAGAGAGAGAGAGAGAGAGAGAGAGAGAGAGAGAGAGAGAGAGAGGGGCGGATGTTAAGATCAGAGCCATCTGAACTCATTAATGCCGACGCCAGACATTTCACAACCCATCAACACAAACACATATACGTACATGCATGCATTAATCTCCATGCAATCCATTAACAGAGGTGTGTGTGGAATGCACTCCGTATAAATAAACCCCTCAACATGGTGCACACACCTTCACGCTTCTACTTGCCTGCACATACACACACACACACACACACACACACACACACACACGGGATGACATTGTTCTGTCAATCATCTGAGTGTGCTGCAGCCTACTCCATTTTAATCATCATTAGAGAGGCAGACGGGACAGTCATCAGTGATCAAATCAAATAGTCTATTTTTAAGTTTATTTATTTATTTAGTTTATTTCAAGAAACCAAGCGGTGTGTTCGGTGTGAAAGCAGTTCGGCATTGCGTATTAAATGGAACATCTACGCTGTTGTCAATGCCTCTTAAAGTGAACCTGCACTTTACCGACTCTTGAATGAATACTTTTGTGCTCTTTGTTTGCCTTCAAGGTTTCCTGGAACAGAAATGTTTCCATTGAAAAAGGGTGAATCATTGACATCACCTTTAGACACTGAGTTGAGACAGGACTGCTGTGAGTATAGTGAGCATGAAAGCCTCTCTGCTGAAAGTCCCTCTGAAGCTAGACATACACAGTCCTGATCAAAAGCTGCCAAGCATGTAGTTCAATTTAATGCCAGAGACGCACGTCGAGGTGAGTATTATAAATGCCCCCTTTAATCTGTGTTTGACCCCGCTCATGTGAAACTGCTGCTAGAGGTCGTCCCCTTTCACTAGGGCTAAAGTATCAGACAGCTCCCTTACAATCATTGCTCAACCACTGAACCATAAGCTCCTTCACACACACACACACACACACACACACTGCACTCCTAAAATGTCTTGAAATTCACCAGTGGGGAGTACGCTGCATGCTGAACGCAAACAGCCAAATTTGTTCATCTCGACTTGAAAACATCTGCATGGAGTCGTGGGCAAATCCATGTATGCAGCAGGTAATAACATGGAGCATGCACATGGAGCAAACGCAGGGTGTTGACCTCTTTTTTTAAGGTTTATTTTTCTGCCTTTTTTTTAAAGAGGTTGGACAGAAATTGTGGAGAGAGAGAGAGTGTAGGACGACATGCAGGAAAAGAGCCACAAGTCGGACTTGTACCCGAGCCGTCCGCCTAGAGGCCTCCGCACAAGTTGACTTTTCTTCAAGTAGAATTGTTGCTATTGCAATATTGCTGACAGACAACTGCATCTAGCCTGTTTGTCTGTCCAACAAGAGGCATGAAAGGCAAACGTTGAGCACTTTTTGATTGCTTGCTAAGAAAAAGCACAAATATACCTCAATTTCATCCACAGTCTACATTAACAGCACATATACCAACAAGAATGCGATCTAGAATCCAAAACACAGTCCCAGGCTTGAATTTCTTCATGTTAGAGAAAATCTATGCATGGTAGAACATGAAGGGGAAGTCACATTTGTCAAAAACCCCCCTCGAAAACGACACACAAATTAACCTCCCTGTACCTCAAAACACAAACTTATTTCTGTTCCTTGATATTTCCAGCTCTGGAAGCCCACAGGCAAGCTTCCACCACCTTCCAACACATCCAAGATAAATGATACCAATTTCATAAGCGGCATCTCTGCCTGCTCTCACTTCAGCCAAGCTGAGCCTGTGCACGCGCGCGTTCCTCGAATGCACACACGAGCGGAAATGGTAGAAGCCTGCCCGTGCACACAGAAAACATAGGTTACATACAAAGGAGGCTGACAGGTTTTGATCAATAGTGTTGTGAGCGTTGCTGCTTTTTTTTCCTCCGCGGCGACCACACTGCAAGAAACAATATTGATAACACGTTACTGCACATGGTGTGTGTGTGTGTGTGTGTGTGTGTGTGTGTGTGTGTGTGTGTGTGTGTGTGTGTGTGTGTGTGTGTGTGTGTGTGTGTGTGTGTGTGTACTGTTCTTGAGGGAATACAACACACCTGGCAGGTTGTTCAGCATAATGCATCTTCTCCCTCTCTCTTCCTGTCTGTTCTTCTTTTACCTCTCCCCTGATTTTCCCTCATTTCCCTTCTCTCTCTCCTGTAGTTCAAATTACACACGTCTACAAATGAAAAAACATACAAAGCCCACACAGGTCCTCACAGGTGGATATTAGCGTAGCATCATCTATTAATTGGACGTGAATGCATGCAGAGAGAGGGAGAGAAAGAGATAGGAGCTCGGTGTATTCATTCCCTGGGGAGTCTATGGCTGGTTCAAGCTTAAGCCAGCCCTAACCATATGTTTTATTAAAAAAGGAAAGTCTTAAGTCTGCTCTGAATGGGTTGGGAGGGTGTCTGCCTCCTGGAGACCCTGCCTGGTGAAATTATTCCGAACAACATTTAAATGTTTAAACCACATTTTGAAATTTAAAAGAAAGATTTAAAAGGTGAAATGTATATATATTTTAGTCCTCGTCAGAACTCGTATGGAAGACATTTTAAACAGCAGAAGAGTCTAGGTATTGATTGCAAGTTCCATATATAAATGTATTTAACACCTTCCTATCATGCATGTCCTACCTAGACCCACCCTACTCAACCAGATGCCCATATAAACAGTGCTTACCTATCCGTAACATAGATCTTCAGGAATTTTCAGCCACTTTTAAAATGTGTTCATTTATACGGTTTGTTGTGCAGCTCAGGATCTGTCGCAGGTTCATGGGCTTAGGGACAGTCTGTGTCCAGCTTGCTCAAAGTTGATCCCTGGCATTACGTGAGCAGAGCCACACTCAAATCTATACCGTTGTTTCATTTTATTTATCTATCTTATTGACAAAAAAAAAAAAAGACATCTCACACAAAAAAAAAGACTTTTTTTCCTGCAGAACATTCAGTTCCTTTTTGCTGTCACACTCCAGCCCGCCCGTCTGTTTGATTCTCCCTGTTACCCTCCATCTCCTCAGCGTTTGTCAGCTGACCCCTCCAGCGGGTTTATCTGTCGAGATGGTGCCAAATACCAGTAGTTGCCAACAGGCGCGGTCATGGCTAAATATATACCTGCTCGCGAGAAGGATCTGATTTATCTCATATGTAGTACAAGTGGGTGCACGTGTGAAAATGACGTACATGTGCACGTCCCGATCGGTTCGTTTTGCAGTGTGACTGCATGCATTTTTAAATATGCACGCGCAGACCCCTTTTGCCAGTGCTTGACTCTTTTCACACGAGTGTGCCAGGGACTATTTTCTGCCACTTGCCCCCCTTCTCTGTCGGTGCAACATTCACAAGGAAGCAGGAACATCCCTCTGCTCTTCTTTTTCCAAGAGCCCTTAAGATGCTAGATATGCCGGCTATATTCTCAGCGTTCAAATTCTGCGGACACAAAAGACAAGAGAGGGGTAAGAAAGAGGGAGGTGAATTTAGGAGACAAACTAGGAGCTAAAGTCATCAGGCAGGTGAGGAGAGGGAGTAATGAGAGGAGAAGAGAAAGTAAAGGGTATCAGAGGATAAGGGGGAAGCGTGCAGACGGGAGGGCGCTGGGTACGCCGTGTCCTTAAAAAGCCTCAGAGGAAGTAGAGGGAGAGGCAGAGATGAGAGGAGAGGATGAGCAGTGCGGCGTGGCTGAGAAAGAGGTTAGTAAACCAGTTGAAATTGGATAACACTCTCACTCGGCGTCGCCACAGTTTCACATTACGAGAGCTCAGTGAATGAAAATAGGAGATTAACCGAGATATGTGCAAGGGCAGATGGTGGTGATTTAATCTTGTGTGTGTGCGCAAATCCACCGCATATGATGGTTTTAGTGCAATGTGAAATAGACATACATGAAGTGTGCCGATGATGTTCCGACATATGACTGAGCACATGAGCCAATTAAGGAAATCCTTGATTAGGTTTCGATTCGGCGGGCACGAGCAGATGCAGAAGCCAATCAAAAGTAGCGGGGAGAAGCAGCGAGCATGTTGCAGAGAAGCTTAAACGTTTCTGCAGTTCGTGCTGCAGTGTCACCCTGCCTCTCGTTTGCCTCTTTGTTGATTTTTTGGAACAATTTGTCCTCACAGGAAAATGTCACGCTACCCTGTCAGCTCTGACTATCCCCCAACCCCCCCCTCAACCCACCCAATCTATCTCTCTCCTCTCATTGGTAACATTGGGAGAGTTTTCGCCCTCCTCACATCTCATGTTTTTTTTTTTTTTTTCTCTCTCTCTTTACATTTCTACTTCCTCACCCTTCCTAACCCTATGAGTCTGAGATTCAGTGGTACAGCGTGTGCCATAGAACAAAATGTTCAAGCTCTTACACTGTGATTATACCAACGGAGGAAGTACAAAGAGGTTCACATACAAACTCAAATAAAAGCAACAGCAAGACCAGGAGGAGGAAAAAGAAAACTATTCACAGATTGTCTGCAGTCTCTTTATCTGTGTCACAATGTTTTTACCTTTAACTGACATGTTTTCCCCTATCTTGTTACAGGTTCTCACATTCCTGTTACTCCCATGGCTCTTTTCATCTTTATGTCTCACCTATATTTTAATGTCTAGACGGACAGAAAGCAGCACTTACAAGCAGCTGTTGAACAGGAGCAAGTGGGTACAAACCTTTTTTTTTTTTTCATGTGCCCCTACAACCCTATCAAATAAATTTTCATCAGCCCAATTTAAATGTCTCTGTTTTTATTCGCAATTGATACTCCACTACGATGCATGTATTGATAATGTCTTCATTTTTTAGATAACCAGTTGAAGTGTGTATAACTTCTTTGCAGTTGAAGTACAAGTAGTGGCATTAAGAGTTGTATTGCACTGATCAGTAGCCTGGTGGAAGTGTTGCTACTGAGAGCTGAGCTTCTTTTCTACAGCTTTTCTGTAACTCTTCAGCAGAAGCAAACTGTGACTCTTAAACCTTGACCCTCCTTCATTTAAATTTAAAAAATGTAAATGGCGGGATAATACTTTAGCAACTATGTCCTCCTCAGTGACAGTTCATTGTCACATCCATCATGAATAAAATCTGGCTCGCCAATTTGGGTAACTTTAAGCAAGGTTGCGATAATGCGCCAAGCAGAACTTCGCGTAAAGTTTATAATAACAAAGCCTGAAAAGGGAAGATGTAATGGGTCAATTTTACTGCCATTCCATGTTATTCTCGCATAATACGCGGGGGCCGAGAGGATCCTGATGGGTCCTGTCTCCCTTACAGTGGGTTACCTTTTGTATTATTCTGGTGATTCTTAAATAAGCTTACTGAACTCATGCCAACCAAGCTAACCTTCACAATCCAGAGCAGGCTGCAAACCTGAAACCAACTTGTGAAAGCTAACCGATGACACTGGTGTCAATTCATTTTGAGTTATTTATTATACCTTTTTTTTAAATTATTATCTGTCTTTTTAAATTGTTAAGCATCCTTTGTAGCTAAATATTTCAAGCGTTGAGAAATTAATTATTCGACCTTTAGCTTACTGTTAAACTGTTATTTTCCACGCCCAGTTGCTAGTTTACATGCACTAGCCTTCATAGTCCTACCACTACAGTATAGGTAGGGGTTGTTGGATTTTCTGTCATTTAAGGAGCCTTTATTTTTTGACCTACTTGCGCTACACCGCAGCCTCGCAATGAACCTCATATCAACCGCAGACAAAAAGGTAGCCGTGAAGCTAGCGTAAAGCTAACTCTAGAATTGACAAAAAGTGGAGGCAGAATCCCAAAAAAGGACCGAAGACAGACACAGTCGAACAGCTGCACCAGACATCAAAGACCAGCTCTCCTCACGTGGTCAATAAATCAGCCCGCTTAACAACACATTCAGTGTAAGGTTACGTCTCTGAATGTGGCCAGCAAGTCCAAAAGCCCCTTACATGCCGTCTCAAATATTTCAGCACCAAATTCTTTCAAAATGATGTCAGTCTGAAAAGTTTGTTTACATCATGATTTTCATAGAGAAAAATATGTTTTGGCTTATACCCTACATTTTTTCTCCCTGTTTTCCAAATCCCCTCCCTCCTTTAAATATGACCTACTTCCAATAGTTACATTTGATGAACTAAACAGCATGCACATATGTGACCTCAACCTGGTTGGTGTCATAAAATCAAGATTTGTGTATTATTCACCAAGCAGAATAATATTTCACTATTGCTTCATTCCCGTTCCTTCCAAATGGCTTCCCCCCTCTCTTGGTCTCCTACACTCCACTTGACCACCTGTGGCCTCGCTTCCCCTCCTGTCAAATCCCCCTCTGAACACACACACACACACACACACACACACACACACACACACACACACACACACACACACACAAACGCCACCATCATGTCACCCATTCCTGCCATTGCACTTGTGTCTTATGACCATGCTGTGCATCATAAGGCTTACTCAATTCCCACCCCCCCACCCAAGCCAGAAACCTAACACATGCATACAAAAACCGCACCAAACACACACACACACACGCTCATCCCCCTAATAAACACAGGTCACGCTTTCACCATGCACGTGAATATCAAAGCAACAGACAGAGACAAATGCACTCTTCCACGGAGACACACTCTCTGCTTTTCCACACCATTCATGGCAGTGCTACTGTATCAGCCTCCAAAAGAAGCTATTTATAGGGATGACTAAGTTTTGCTGCAAAGCCATTTATGTATTTATACTGCATAGATTCACACAATGACTATGTGTGGGGTTATATATTGCTGACACATACTTGTAAAGCTTGCGAGTTTGGAGTTCATATTTCTGGATGATCCAAGCAGATGACATTGTGACTGTGTGAGTTAACTGAACACACGAGGTGGCTGAAGAGATATGAACTTCAACTGGAAGGTCAGATGTGGAGGTTTCCCTCTCATGAAGTAGTCTAATGACCAGAGGGTTGTCAGCACAGTATGACTCTTAAAAAAGTATTACATGACCAACAGTGGGAATTTCAGCCAATCAGGAGCTGTGTTACCATCTCTTATCTCTCCATGAACTGGTCAGGAAGATGCTACAGTTGAGGATAAACAGGCAAGGATCTTCAATTTGACAGCAACTATTTCAATTTAATGGAGGCATCTGATTTATTTATCTGATTACTCTTAACAGAATAATACTAACTGTTGTGCAAACAAAACCTTTTTTTCAAAACTCATAATAATTCATAAACATATAGACTCCCAATTCAGTCTGATTTCATTTTGATGAATAAGAAATCATTCTAGACAGAAATGATAATACAAGAAGTTCCTTAAATCACCCACAAGAAACATGCGAGAGTACAACCCTCATTTCTTCTTTTACGTTGTTTTTGTTTGTTTGTTTGTTTGTTTTGGTCCAATGTTCCTGCGAAATCAGAAACGACTGAATGATTTTGTGTGCACGGGTGCTCACCGTGAAGAGTGTTTGTTGTCTTGAATTAAACATCTTCACTTGGACTAAAGACATTTCCTGTTCCTTAGAATTAAAGGGAGATTTAATCAGTGTTTAAAAGCGTCGCCTTCAAGTGGGAGTTGAAATATCCTTGAATAAACTTTTGAGTGAAAAACGTACATACTTACTTCCAGGTCACATGCTTCCTCCGACAATAAAAACAACAGCATTCTTTGATAATGCTCTGGTTAAATGCTAACTATGACAGGAATGTGAGCGCGCGTGGGCCCGTATTAGCACAACTCTATCATGTGAGTGAGCTTACGACACACACACACACACACACACACACACATATGCAAACACACATGCTTGCAAATGCACACCGAGAAAAAGTTGCACACTCCGCTACATGCACGTGCACAAGGATAACACAGAGAATGGGATTAGCCATTGTTAAGCAAAGCAGGCAGCACACCCAGTTAAGACGGTACACACCTAAGCATCTTAAGAATGTAAATAACACAAGTTGAAGTAGATACATGTGAGTAGCACTGTTTGCAAAGCAAACTATACCCTTGATGTACTGCATGAAGATCACTTTCAAATCAACAAAGTCAAGTAGAAAGACATGAACGTGGAACTGGGTGGAAATGACTGGTTCAAAGCTTTAAATGGACTGATATGATTGCTAGGTGGCTCATGTTGCCGTTTGTCGGGAGGCTTAAGGCCCATCTCAGCTCCAGCTCTTTGCCTACTAGGTTTACCGATAGTTAGGTTGAGACAGTATTATCTATATGTCGACCACCATCGTTAAGCTTCAGATTTCGCTTTCAATGGGTGATATCACTGAGACTACGTCCATGTTTCATACCCTCGATTGTCAAATCTCGCACTGTGACAGCAATATGACAGCATACTTAGAATCAGTGTAAAGCATCAGGGTGGAAAACAGCCAAAAAAACAAAAGGCCCTCGATCCATTTTTTGAGACTTCTTAAGGGCTATTCGGTAATGGCTATTGTGTTGTACATTTTTGGTAGTAGAGCTAAAATCAGACTTTTAAAATACATGTAAATGTACATGTAAATTGAATTTCTTTGGACCAACACACCTATAAGAATCAGGAATACTGTATTAATCCCCAGAAAGAAATTCGTTGAGCAACTGTGACAGGCAGCTTGCGTGGTTGGTGCATGCACACTGATCTAACTAACTACTGCAGTTGTGGGTCGATTTACTCTTGCATTTATACTATATTTTCCCAGGCATTTTGCGCAAGTGTAACCGTACCCACACTTGGCTTTCACCCTGGAGTTGAATAACATTGTCATCTGCCTTCAGAAACCACTATAAGCACGAAGGATAGCATGCATCAAATTTGTACCAACAATCATGGATCTCATGTTACCACAGACCTGAAGTAAAATTTGTAGGTCATTTTTGAGCAACAGGGGCAACCCTGTCCACTGAATAGTTGTAATACAGAGTCAATTTTAAGTTTTGGGTGTTAAGTTATCATTTTAACATTTGCTTATCCACAAACCAAGGTGAGCTGCTCCCAGCACCTGAGGATCCATCATCTTTATCCTGCTTGAGACAACTTCACCGTCAGCCTCGAGGCTGCTTCTATAACACTAAAGCCACTGTGTGTGGCTTAAAAGTGATTATCAGTATACGTCTGATTGAATATAGAGGAGGACAGGCTGTACCATCTTAAGTGACACAGTCGATTGCATCAAGTTTAGAGTTCAAGTTGGGGCTGTCATAACACAGCAGCTTAAGCCATGTTAGTGAGAACAGTGACGCCTGTTGCAGTTAGCGCTTACAGAGAAGGGGCTGATCAATAGAGAGTGCTAGGGTTCTGCCCAACCACTCCCACAAGGAGAATGACACACCTTCACTGAATAAGTTATTTTAAAACAAGTTTTAAATAAAGGCAATATGTACAATTTTTAAAGAGCAAGGTCCATATTTTGCAGTTAATAAGTCAAATGTGTAATCTACAATAAAAATGTAGATTGAACACGTTTTGTGTCTAAAGTTACTGATTGGTGTCGTGTTTCTAGTCTTGGGCACTTATCCAGCACTCTGGGCCTCTAATGACTCCCGTTGAAAATTGCATACTTGGATTTTGGATCGTTCTACATACTCAATGTGACGTCATATTTGGTATGAATAGTATGAAAGGATGTGGTTTTGGACAAAGCCAGAGAGATCGAGTCATGCATCGTCACTGGATCAGAGCATAGACTGCTATGTTAAGTGTAGATCAGCAGACCACACTAGCATTAGTTATCTT